CCCCAAAACCCCAAAACCCCAAAACCCCAAAACCCCAATGCTCAATTTTGATTGAAAGCATTAACGTTTATGCTGAGTCCAGAAATCATTAATGTATCTTTCCACTTCAGCATCGGTCCCTCTTCGGCAGCATTTCTTCGTGAATAAGGGGAATTTCAGCCTGAAAATAGAGACGATTGTTTTGAAGATGACGCAAGCAGTGTAGAGTAGGATTACGTAGCTGTAGGAGATTATGTATACCCAGGAATGCCAGTAGATTAACCTAACACGAGTTGAGTCATGGCAATCAGGGCTTATACGACCGTTGTGGTAACGACTGATGAAGATAGTACCATAGATTGTAAATGCCAAGGAGGTCATGATTAGACAAATTGTGAGAAAGGAATTTGTATATAGTATCCTCGTCCTAGAGTTTAGAGTTGGCTTTACCAATAGAAATCATATGTCTTGAAATATTCCCTTGCTGTAGAAGCGTTCATCTTTTGTTCGATTAGAAGTTTCTAGATTTTATTAGCTCAAAGCTTTTGTAAATGGTTGAGTATTTTTATCCAAAAATCGATTTAGAAAATTTGTAGGGTAAGATAGAAGAATTTTGGAAATTTAGTATTTTTACTGCAAAAATCTCCTGTTGTTTTTGAGAATTATACCACTATATTACCCTTTCTTTTCTGAGAGATTTTAATTGAGCTGAAACCATCAAAGTAATAGCTACAATGACGTTAATAAGTAAGAGAATTTGGTATGGAAGTCTATCTCATCCATCATTATTTGCTCTTTCGCATCATTGGTTGCCCGATCCTCCTGCAAATTGGGAGAGAATGAGCATGACAATATTGGACCAGATCGGGATGAGCCTATTTCTGATACCTTATATACTTACAATCAATATTTGATGACTCCTTTGTACAGATATGGTAAGCCAAGCATGACTCTTTTATCATATAACCAGGCTAGGAAGGCAAATTCCATTATGAATTATTTTCAATTAGTCAATTATAATTGGGGTTTTGGGGTTTTGGGGTTTTGGGGTTTTGGGG